AAAATCGTTTTAAATTTTGATACAAATTTTTAAAAACTAATGTAGGAAGCAACTGAACGATCAATTTGTGGTTTACCTAAAATTATAGCTTGGACTAAATTTTTAGGAGTACAGTCTGACATCCTGTAGTGCAAAAACTTAATGCAATATGGCTCTACCCCCAAATGATTTTCAGAGTGTTCTAGGAATATTCTATCTACTATAGAAATTTATTATTTATTTAGATTTCCTTTAACTCTTATCAGGTTTTAAGAACTTTTCTTCGATATTCTGAGGTTTTATTTCAATTTTTAGAAGTCTCGTGTGTGTACGTTATTCTTCAATAATATTTTTTAACTTCGATAGAAAGATTTAAAATCGAATATTAAAAGCAACTGGACTATTATTTTGTTTTTTAACTGTAAATATCGCGAAGAATGCACTTTTAATGTTTTCAATTCTTGCAATTCTTTATTTCCTATCCCCATAAAGCCAAGTATATAAATTCAGTTTCATTGAAACCTTACATTGATTCGACTAACATTTTATGAGATGTGATTTCTTTATCACCAAACGATATTTATAGTGTTGTTCTTTGAATCGTAATTTCATATTTCAGGAATTTATTCGAATTTTCTTTCATCATTTATCAAATTTTAAGAATTTTTCTTCTATGTTCCGAAATCTAAGTTTTTATTTATTTTAAGTTTTCTAAGTTTTTATTATTATAGTCCGATAATGTTTTGGACTTACATACAAAGATTTAAAAAAATATTCGGAACAATTCAACGATGAATTTGTGTTTTAGCAATAAATATCGCATGAAATATTTGAAGTATAAAGTATCTATAATTCTTATAATTCTTTATTTACTCTCCGAAATATTCTTGCGATTCAATTTTATTGATACCCCTACAATTTTACGAAACTTGGTTTCTTTATTACCAAACGATATTTAGTGTGTTCTTAGAACCGTAATTCCATATTTCAGAAATTTATTTAGGTTTTCTTTCATCACTAATAACATTTTAAGAATTTTTCTTCCGCGTTATGAACGTTTATATTTATTTCATGTGTATATTATAGTTCGATAATGCTTTGGACTTAATACAAAGATTTAAAGAAGAATATTCGAACAACTGAATGATGAATTTGTAATTTAGCAATGGATATCGCACGAAATATTTGAAATCTGAAGTTTCAATAATTTACTGTTATTTAATAATTATTTATAATTTACTATTCCAAATATTCTTGTAATTCAATTTCTTTGAAACCTTACATTGATTCTTCCTCTATTTTATGTGGCGTGGTTTCGTTATTACCAAACGATATTTAGAGTGTTCTTGAAATTGTAATTTCATATTACAGAAATTTAATTAGGTTTTCTTTTATCACTTATCAACTTATAAGAATTTTTCGTCTATGTTCTGAAATGTCATATCTAAGTTTATATTTACCTCTTGTTTATCTTATAGTCCGATAATGTTTTTAACTTTAATTACAAAGATTTAAGAAAAATAAATATCGCATGGAATATTTAAAGTCTAAAGTTTCAATAATTCTTTATTTACTATCCAAACATTCTTGTTAAGTCAATTTTTTTTAACCTTGCATTGATTCTTCCACCATTCTACGCGCCGTGGTTTCTTTATTACCAAACGATATTTTGAGTGTTCTTGAAATCGTAATTCCATATTCCAGAAATTTATTTAGGTTTTCTTTTATCACTTATCAACTTTTAAGAATTTTTCTTCCATGTTCTGAAATTTTATATCTGAATTTTTACGATCCTCGTGTGTACATTATAATTATACTAACTCATAAACTAAGTATTTTGTAAAGGATATATTCTTAAACGCGTTAATGGTTGGTAAAGTAATCACACATGCTGAGAAGTAATGAAAATAAAACTTTTAAACTCTGGCCGTATAAAAGCTTCTATGAGAAAAGAGAGTATGGCGCACTCATTTGCATTTTACGACATTGCTAACAAGTAAACGTTTAACGAGAAATAACGAAAGATTCATTTCAAATTTTGAAGTTTCATTAATGAAGTGAGAGCGGTATGAAATGCTTTTACACTTTCTGTAAGCGAGCTGCATCTTGATGAGGGATAAACCATCAAAATTAGAATGTAGCCAAAGCGTTGCAATATGATAAATGATGTTGGCGAAAAGCAGGGTTACGCTTTCGGAATTGATGTGGCTCTCGCTAACAGTTAAAATTACGTTTGAACGTTTAAAAGATTAACTGAAGTCCGATATTACTATACACATATGCATTCAGGATTCGAATTTTAAAATTCTAGCTGCCTGCCTGTACCGTAATTATTTATGACTTAAAAATGAAATTTCACTGTTTTAATGTTTAAAAATGCGGTTAAATCTGTATTTTTGAAAAATTAAAATTTGATCGCATAACCTGATGAACACATTTAATCAATCAATCACCACCTTATCTATAATTCACGATCCAAAAAATTCACGATCAAAATTATTTATTAAAATTTATTTTTCAACTATTGTAATCTAATTTTTTTTATTTCAAACAAAGTATTATATTTAATTTTATTGTACAGCAATTTTATTTCTATTTAAACAAATAAAAGTACAATTGATGAAATTAAAATTTACATAGTTAATGATGGAATGTTTATTTCACAATTAACGAACGATGCTCATTTAACTTATATTGAATTTGCTAACGCTTTTGCACATTCATATTATATTTTGCGGAATAATTTTTTTAGAATTTAATATTCTGCGGAAAATTTTTTTAGAATTTTCTATTTTGCGGAATAAATTTTTAGAATTTAATATTTTGAGGAATATTTTTTTAGAATTTTGAGGAATAATTTTTTAGAATTTAATATTTTGAGGAATAATTTTTTAGAATTTAATATTTTATGGAATATTTTTTTAGAATTTAATATTTTGAGGAAAATGTTTAGAGAGGTGGGATTTGTGAGTCAACTACTACTTGCACATCTTTGAGCTTAATTATAGCAAAGAAGTAAACATAGTTAAAGAAGAAAATTTTTTCACCAAAATATAAACAGAAAGCATTTTCAGTCATATCTATTCTAGTTTCACAGTTATAATGATGCTTTTTTTTTAACACCATGCTTATCTACTAAGCATGCCAATGTTATAGAGCATCTAGCGATGTGTGGCAAATAAGGAACATACATACATCTAAGACAGGTTGATCACTAAAGCTACTAAAGAAAATCATAAACACAAAACTCTAATTGGGTTGTTCATGCAATTGCTCACAAATAAACAGTGACATGTAGCAAGAATAAAATGATGACATAAATAAGATAACTAATTTAGCCGCTTAGAATATTAACATTATGTCCAAACCTAAGTTTATATTTGAAAAAAAAAAACTACAATTGAGAAACTAATCTAATCATCAACACTAATGTATAATTTTAGAAGCCTTGAAATAAATATGTGCATTAGAATTTATAAATTAATATATTTAAACCAGGGAGAATGGCATAGAGATCTGATGAATCATTCTTTGCAAAAAATGGGTTTAAAAACTTCAAAACCAGTTTGATTGCTGATGGAAATAAAGGGAAGTTATAAGGTGCTTACGAGAAGCACTTTCAACATTTATCAACCAAACATGTTTCAAACTTTTAATCCTTCCACCCGCGATAATAATTCATCTGATTCAGATAACAATTCTATTTTTTCCCCTTGCTTAAATTATAATTTTAACTCTTAATGTGTAACCAGTTTTTCTTGACAAAGATTCTAAAAATATATGTTAATTATGATGATTAGGAAACATATTAACATGGGAAGTATATTAACATAAAAAAGCTTCTTAATGGCATTAAGCATTAAGAAGATTTGACTGTTAAAATTAAGTCTGTTAAAATTCGCGTGTTAAAATGTTTATCTGACAGCCTCAATTAAAGTAAAAAATTGTGTGAAAATTCGCGCTCGGTTAGGTTTAAAGTCATCTAAGCACCTCAAATTGTTAGATGAAACTGAAAAAGTGTTTACTTCTTGTTCGTAGCCATCCTGCACTTTCTTCTGACAAATAAACTGGTTTTGATTATTTTAGTTGCATTGTTTAATTGATTCCTTTTTGGTAATTTTTTTCTCACTTGTATATTAATTTGCGACATCTAATTTGTTGGGTTGCATGTGTTAGCAGAAAAATGCAATTTTAAGACAGTGATAAATAACTAGATCACATTTAACTTAGTGGCATTTGCCATTTTCACGTTTTTTTTTTGTTTTGTTTTTTTTAATACATTTTTGGTCTTTTGTTAATTTTATGATCCTCTTTTGCTTATTTACTTTTTTAATAACCAATCAATTTGTATCCTTAAAATTCCTCTCTTCCTGATTTTTTTTTTTTAAAACCCTCTTAGTTCTAGATTTTTGTTTCTTTTTCCTTTGCATTTGGTACTAAAACTTGTCAATCTTTTTCACATAAAACAAAAGGTTTTCTGGTTTTTTTTTTATTAATTTCAGGACACATAACATTAGGGGGACCGGAAAGTAATGTCGCTTCGGCGTATTAAATATTCGTTAGTCTTAAAAACCAATTCATTTTTTTTTCCGATCCGATTTGATTCATTTTCCATCCGGCATTGAAAGGTTGTTGCTAACGTGGGTTAATACATTATTGATTTAAAAATATCTTGATAACAAATATCAAAAGCACCGAAACGACATTACTTTTAGGTCCCCTCTAACATTAATACACAAAATATCGTTGGAAAACTGCGACTAGGGCATTAATTGGTTAACTATAAGATTTATAATTGGGTGCCTAACCTTGTGATTTAAATCATATTTCTTTTAATACTTGTAAGTGACGTCACGCCTGATTTGCGAATCAACTAATGTCACAATTTGCCTCATCACTCGCAGGTATCCAATTAAGCACAATATAATAAGACAATTAACCTATAATTGTGTAACACATTACTAGAGGATAAAATATTGCAATATTTTATATGTTTAAGAAAAAAAAATTTGGAATATTACCTCGGACCATTCTCCAACCTTCCATGTACTTCTGCATTTGCTGTTGTAGCATTCTCTTTTCCGCCTCGGTCGCGTTTTCTCCTCGCATTGGGAAAGTGGAAGGTCCGTGCCGTTCGCAGAACGACAATATACGGCACGCTTTTCATAGGACGTGTGCCAAGTAAAGCACTGGGAATCTAAACACTAGATTTAATAAAAGGAATAAAATATTTAATTGACTCGAAAAGCAACTAGTTTAATACACTTTTGCACTCAAAGTTTGACGAACCCTTTCGTTGCGACAGTCCGCTCAGTTGAATTGACGTCACGTGACGATGCAACGCGCAGACAACCGTGTACTTTTCCTGCCTGAAGCTCATGTTCAGACTTTTTTTTATTTCAGAGTTACATAACAATATATTAGGTGATTTTGCTAGCATTATCAATAAAAATGAAAAGTAGGATAATTCAAAAAGTTTTTAGCAATTTAAATCAGTATGATAAATTTCAGAACTAAGTAGATCCAACTTCTGCCCTGTGTATACGAGCATCGGTTAAATACGATGCTTGTACACACACAGGGAATCAATTGATTGCCTGCTAAATGCGACGTTCGTAACGAAAGGGTTAAGTAAATTACACAAGTTCGACAATTGAGGTGTAGACATTGAAAAGGAGTCAATTGACAAAATTTAAATTTTACCGAGAAAGGAAAGACGATTAGAGAAAAAGTTGTTAGTTGCTCTCTGCTATATTCATTAAGGTTGCTTTTCGAAGGCTCCGTCGTAGCAACGATGCTTTTTTGTTAATAATATGCTATTTTTATAACTGCTGTGATTTTACAATTGTTACTCGTGACTGTTAGGTCAAGTTTAGCCTATCTAAAGCCAGCACTGTCTTATTTTTGAAAATGGCGCAAAACGTCGATATGGAGAAAAGCCACAGTTTTGTGAAAATGAAAAGCGTTTGTGGTCTAAATTTTTAATATTTAAGAACTTACTCCAATACTGCATTACCTGGGCTTATAAAAATTTGCAAAAACTGAGAATAAGACAGCGATTTTGATAATTTTCATCTAGGTGGAAAAATTTCCCCAAATTGGCGATTTCTTAAAAAAAAAAAGTTTAAGAACTTTTAAAATATGTAAGCTATTTATCCGTTCTGAAGCCCAGGCAATTCTTCACGACAAGATTATATATATTATTTAAAATCGTCGCATTGTTTCAAGGCACTTAAACTATATCTTTTTTATTTTCCTTGGCGACCGAGTTTCAAAAAACAGTGTTAAGAAACTTCGAAACTAAATTACGCAAGCTATTCACTTACCACCTTTATAACGCTAATAACCTCCAACCAATGGTTTCTTTTAATGCAAAAACTAATTTTGGGTCACTATTCCTTTCCAATGCTCTCTACTTATAATATTTTTTTTTCTATTTTACATACAGTGCGGGGATTCTAATTTAATAGTTAAGAAAAGTAAGTAATTGCATTGATTGAAAATCATAAAAATCCATTATAATTGAAGATTTACACAAATTTTTAACAGTTCGAGTTCATTATATTTTCTAAGTTTTCTTTTTTAGAAACGCCCATTAACAGGAACAATGAAGAACAATCATTTAAAGAAAATGTTTATTAAAATCAACATACTTTAATTATTGATTTTTAAAAATTCTTTATTCAACGTACTTTAATTATTGATTTTTAGAAATTTTTTATTCAGCATACTTTAATTATTGACATTCAAAAAAATTCTTTATTCAATTTTCTTTAATTATTGATTTTCCGAAAATTCTATATTCAGCCCACTTTATACAAAGTATACGCATTATATGTGTAAAATACCGTAATCGTGTAGACGAGTATTAAAATGTAATGGATGGAAATAATGGTGATGATCTTAATTATTTGTTACCTGTGACCATGGTGCTGTTTCCCAATGAGGACAGTCTTCATGCCCACAACTTTGAATGGTTGACGGGGTTAAAAGTCCAGCGTCTTCACACAAAGTGCTGTCCACTGGTTTAGATACATTGTTAAGTCTTACTAAACATTGAGTGGATCGAACCTAAGAAGTAACGAAAAACCTTTTTACGCTAAAGAAAAAATTTATATTATCCAAATAAAACACATTCAATATATAACTACTTTTTTTAAAATAGATAAGGATATAAATTACGGCTCATTTAAGTTTGTTTTATTTTTTTTAAAGTCTACAATATATTGTAGTATAAAATTTATAAACCTTCATTGTTTCATTCTATTCTATAACGTAGCTGTTAGTTTAGCTGTAAATTACAAAATAAGTTTATATATTCAGGGGTCTGTCCAGACATTTTGTGAAAGGTCCGTTTTTGTAAAATTGTGAAAAAATTACTCGTAATTTGTGAATATAAAATAAACGTTAAGTCACATTCTTTCAACCAGGGTCCGCTTTTGTGAATTTGTGCAAATAGGGTCCGT